ATATATTGTACTTATACATATATTTTGTGTCTGTTTCCTATGCAATTACGCAGAATGCAGATTTTAAAAAAGTAAAATAAACTATTAAATATACTATTAACTAGTTGTTATCCTTGAGGAAATGTGTATCAGTGGGATGGGTTAGGAAGAGTAGGGAAAAACGTTTTCTTTTAAAGTACTTCTGAGAGTGGCAGTAATGACCATGGCTTTCATCTGAATCTGCATCCTACAACATGGATTTATAGAAGCGGGTCAGACCTCTGCAAAAATGGAATAAATTAACAGGGAACAAAACGAAGATATGGAGATAAGTAGGTAGAGGCAACAGTCTCCAACAATCCAAAAGCACAAACATCCAAAGACCAATGGGAATACCTGTATGTATGCTTCTAATTGAATTTGTTTATTGTAAACTACCCATGGAGAAAGTGAACTGAATGGACACGTTACTGAAATGTAACTGACACCCTGAATTTCCATCTGACGTTCAGGTTCTATAGAAGACCTACTAGGTTTTTTATTCCGCTCTTGGTTTCTTTAACATCTAACCACGAGGTTTAGAAGACAAACTAGGGTGCCCGGCAGGGAGGAGGCGAGCCCCTGCTCTGCTCCTACAGAGGGCGCTCAGGAGCAGCATCAGCCAGGTGTTCCTGGGGCATCCAGGTTTTCTAGAGGAAACCACTGAATCATTCATGTCAGCAGCCCATTTGTTTTTAAAAAAGAATAATATATCAAAATGCCTAATTTAGCTTTTGGCCCATTAGTTCAGAGCTTCTATCTAAATGAGGCTATTGATCCTGAGAGCTTGAGGGCCTTTTTCAAAATCCTGGATAAATGTTTTGAATAGAATCAACCTATTACTCGTTCTGATTATTCATATGGTTTACACTAGATTCTCTGTTCAAAATATTTCTTCCAAAAGCTGAGATTGTTGTTATATTATACAGTTGCTTTCAATTGGACTCTTTTGATCCATTAATACAAATTTGTTTTCATAATTTGTTATTTTGAATCTTCTTCCTTTTTCTCACAGACTTTATAAGAATCATTTACATTTTAGTGGCTGCATTTCACCTGAGATTCATTAATTGCTTGTCTTCCTATCCAGAGTTAGCTGAAATGTGGGAACACTAAAAAGAACCCTCTTGATTTGGTAAACCTTCAAACTGATATCCCATACGTGTGGCTTCAAGTGAATTTAAAGGTAGCTTCCAGTTTTCAGTTCTGACAAACAAAGAGCTTGGAAATGGTCATTCCTGTCTTTACAATAAAAAAAAGGCTGAACAAATAGAAAATCAATGACTCTTCTTATATCCATCAGATATTTCAGGTTTCAGGCAAAACCGCCACTCTAAAATCTGGACAGGTGAGTGCATACAGAGGGTAATAGTCAAGATCAGCTCACCTGTAGCAGGATCTGCCAGAGACACAAATTGGTTGGAATACACAGGTGGTCATTTTAATAAGTTGTTGAAATCTGTGAGTGGGCTCGAGTGAAAGTAAAAATCGCCTGAAGGCTGCAATCTGAGGTAGGGTTCCAATACAGACCCACAACAGATGCTCACATGAAGAACAGTTTTTAAAAAATCATCTCATGTCTCTGACAAGGGAAGGCGGGGGGATAACCACTTGGAAATGCATGCAGAATGTTCCCCATTACCACTGCCTACTTTTCAGTGAAAAATGTCTTTACCAGAGTCTTATCTCACCTGAGAGGAGAGCGTTTCCCTGACTCCACCCCCTGTAGTCTTCCTGTCTCACATAAGGGGTAAAAAGTGAAGAAAATCTTATGAAGGTCTTAGCCCAGGAATATACTGACTAAAAGAGTGAAATATAATCATTAAGTCAGAGATGATCTCCTTCCACCACTCCTTAGCACCACATAAACAGGGCTCCACTGTAACAACATGGGCTGACAGCTGGGAAGTTGTAAGAAGGAGTTCTTAGGGAAATCTAAAGATACACACTTATATAGAAAGAAAACACTAGAAGGTGTTAAAGCCCTTGGCATCTGCAGTGACAGCAAACATTAAACAAAATCCAACCACAGGCCAGATTAACATAGAACCATACACTAAAGGTCTATTTGCCTCACTGTCTATTACCTATCATGTCTACCTTTTAACCAAACTTTTATAAGGTATGCCAAAAGACAAGAAAAATGAAGTCCAAAGAGACAAAATAATCACCAGAACCTGACACAGATAGCACAGATATGTTGGGGTGATCAGGTAGTTAATTTAAAAGGAGCACGGTAAATACTTTCAAGGTTCTAAAGGAAAAAGTAAACAGCATGCAAGAAAAGATGGGTATTTTAAGTAAAGAGAAAAATCACTGAGAAAGAAGTAAAAGTAAATGTTAGAAATAAAAAAACACTGTAACAAAATGATGAATGCCCCTGATAGACTCATTCCTAGAGTGGACACAACCAAAAAAAAAGCAGTGATCTTGTGTTTAAGTCAATAGGACCTTCCTGAAATGAAACACAAAGCAAAAACTAGATGCATAAATACAAGAAAAAAAAAAAGGAGCACAGCAGAAGATAATATTCAAGAATGTGGACAATTTCAAAAGGTATAACATATACACAATTGGAATACCTGAAGGAGAAGTAAAAGCAAATGGATCATGAAAAATGTTTGAATAATGACCTATACCTTTCCAAAATTATTAACAGACACCAAACCACAGATATAGAAAGCTCACAAAACACCATGAAAGATAAACATAAAAATATTTATACCACAAAATACCATATTAAATTTGTATTTAATTAAATAAATAATAGATGGATGATAGATAGATAAAGTAATTAAATAAATAAAATGCTGGGGAAGGGGGTAAGCCATAAAAGAAAAAGATTAAAAAATACAGTAGACTTCTAATAAATCATACAAACAAGAGAAAGAGTGAAATAAAGTGTTAAAAGAACAAAGGATACCAACATAAAAATAGTAAAACTATTTTTTAAAAATAAAGGAGAAATAAAGACTTTATAAAAGAAAAACTGAAGAAATTCATCACCAGCAGACCTGTTCTACAAAAAATTTTAAGAAAAGTTCCTTGGGAGGAAACAAAATTGTGTATAGGTCAGAAGCTCAGATCTTTATAAAGAAAGACAATGTTAGAGAAGCAATAAATAAAGGTAAATTAAAATATTTTTCTTATATTAATAGATCAAATAAAAATATTCAAATTAATAGTAAATACACAAATTAAATAATTGACAGCAATGTTATAAAGAATGGGAAAGTGGAATTAGGAAACTGTTATAAAATGTCTATACTATCAATGAAATGGTAAAGTGTTACTAAAAGTGGACTTAGATTAGTTATAAATGTATATTGCAAACTCTTGGGCAAATACCAAAAAAATTCTTAAAAGAAGTATTATTGACATGCTAAAAGAGGAGAGAAAATGGAATCAAATCAAATAAT